AATAAATCAGGGGCAACAATGTGTGCCCAACATCTAGAGAAGTTACCTCTGATTTCAATTCCCATGTTGAGAGCAGCTTCAACATGTTCAACGCCTTTGGTGGCCTCTTGGTCGATCATCTCTCTTGTAGGGAGTGACTTTTCCCATGCAAGCTCAGCTTTTTCCTTTTCCAGGTTGTTGATCTCTTTGTTCAATTCAAGAATCTTTGTTTGACACTGTGCAATTTGATTATCAAGTGAAGCCTTCTTGTTAGTGCATTCTTGGAGCTTGGTCTCAAACTTATTAACTTCCTACTCAGACGCACTGCTTAGGCCACAGGCTACAACCATGTCATCTTTCATATTTTAAAGTCGAGCATTGTTTTTCCGTTAGAGGTTGATATCTTTGCAGACATGATCAAAGTAAGCTTCAAACTCGTACAAGAATTGAACCATGGAGTTAGAAACTCAGTGTTTGTTAAGACTAGTCAATAACCTTCGAATATCAGTGCCAAGTCGAACATACCCTTTGATGGCATTGAGGAGATCAACCTCAAAGAGATTAGCCTTCAATTACTGGATGGAGAGGTTTACCGAATCATCACCTGTATCGACCAAAGAAGCATAAGAGGAATGGTTGGATCTTGATTCTGTCAAAAGTTTGCAAAGTTTTTGGAGCCTTTTTAGAGCCTCAATCAGGTTCTCCCTTTTAAGGGTAAGAATTTCTTCTTGGCCCAAAGAGGTGTTCGATGAAGAATTGTGAACGACTACTTGAGCTTACTTTTGTTAGTGGTGGATTGATCTTTCTCTGCTGTTGGGGCAGTTTCGACATTAGGCATGGCTTGCTCTTCATCAGTTTTTTCTGGAGTGTTGGGTTTCAGATCATCTTGAATTAGGTTTCCATGGAAAGAGGCAGTGGTGTAGTACAATTCTTTGTTGTGTTTTGGAGAAAGTTGGTCGAAGTTACCTCTGCTTTAGGTTGTGGTTTTGGTGACGCATCTATTGCTTCGTTAACTGGTTCAGTGGCTGGATGGATAGATGAAAGTTGGAATCAAGAAAATATGACCAATGAATGTGAGAAAGTGTTTCAGAAGAAATTGGATGAGGGATATCTGGTAATTTTTCTGCCTCGTTCTTGTCTATTTCTGGTGTTTCATGAGAAGAAAGGAAATAGTGAGTCGAAGCCAAAAGCAAGAAATACAAGAGTTATAGGTTGAGTTGGGGATTACCTTGGGGTCAATTTTTTCTGGTTCTTCGAATAGAATGTTTTGAAGTTCGTCCTGCACCTAATTATCAGAAAGGGGGAAAGTCTTGATTTCTTTTTAGTTTTTCTTCCAACCTTTCTTCTTGTTTTTCTTCTTCTGTCTTTGCTTCTTTTCCTTTTCCTTTATGGGAAGAACCAACGATCGAGGTAGCAGTTTCTTTTTTGCATTTTGGATTTTGGAGAGTTCCTTTCTTCTTTTGGCTAATGTTTGGCTTAGGATAAGCCTTAGGTTTGGATCTCGGGAAGATAAGGGTTTCCTCAGTATCTTCTGACCTTTTGACTTCAGCCAAAGCTTCTGTTGGGTTTGGAGTGGCTTGAAAAGGTTAATTTGAATTGAATAGAAGGATTATCAAACCCATAAAAAAGTTCGATATCAGCCATATACTTCTATTGAAATGGTCTTGGATTTCTTCTTCTTTTTGGTTTTGGTAGTTGGAGAATTGAGATCACGTTTTCAATTCTGAAAGATAAACTGTCATAATTCTTTCAATGTTAGTGGATGATCAGAAGAGGAAAGACTTACCTTTTTCTTGGGCTCTTCGTTTTTCTTGACTTCACTAACGCCAGAAGGGCGTTCGACATTGGTGTTAACTTATGTTTCAGGTTCACCTACAATCAGAATGGGTGAGAAAGTGAAAGGATTATGAAAAAATTCGAAGTTAATAGTAAGTATATACCTTTTTATTCTAGATTTTCTAGTTCGTCGTAGAAGGAAGTCAGTAATCTTTTTTAGAAATTCTCTTATGTAAAGTGGCCTTCAAAATATTATGTCTACCAGTTATGATATTCGACCATCATGTAAAAGGACGGTTGGAATCGGAAAGTAGGAAGTTCAAAGATTTGGTTGATAGAAAATGCCATGCAAGTCTTGCAATCTTCTATATTTAATTTCCTTTCTGACCAACAAATGTCATTTTCCCAGGTGTAGAGTGAGCCTGGTAGCATCTGGCTAAAGGTGGACCAATGCATTGGTCTACGAAAGGAGCCGCGGTCGAAACAAAGGTGGTCGACTCAAGGAATAATTTGATGTAGTTCATGAATGTGATTTGTGAGGGGGTATCTTGAGGAGTAGTTAAAGCAAGCCTTGTGCCTTCGATGTCTCTACAACCAATCTGTTCTATTAAAGTTGAGGAGTCAGTTATGTGAAGTTTGGGCTCAAATGTGGCGTTTAGCTAGATTTGTAGAAGCCATAAGGGACCAGAAAACATGTATGATTTGTCGGCCACAGGGAGATGTTTCAGTTTGTAGGAAGCTTCTCCAAGTGATTGATAGAGGTTGGTCAGAAAAAAGTTTATTTAATGAGATCTTTCGACTCTCATGGAGTTGGATAGCTAAAGGTACAATTTTTTGAGCTATTTGTAAGGAGTTAGAGTAAAAAACATAGTAGGAAAGCCAAAGGGTTAAAAAGGTAACGTGCTCCTGGTCGGAGACTTCTTCACTTTTCTTGTTGTGATTGTCAATGATAAATTTTTTAAAACTAAATCGTTTGACAGTAAATTCGTTGGTTTTTTCTATGGTCGGAGTAAAGTTTTCGCCTAGATGGTTTAGCCCTTTGATGGCTACCACATCGAATAAAGTTGGCGTCAGTATGCCACAAAGAAATTGAAAGGTATTGATTAAATGTTCTTAAAAAAAGATTGACGCCAACAACATGGCTGAGTTGTATCTAGGTCCAATTCTAAAGAATTTGATAATGTCTTAAATGTAAATTTTGCCATTTTTTTTCGTCAGACTACACTTTGAATTTACGCTAGCCACATCGCAATGCTTCTTCATCGCTCCTCAATCCAACACACCACAGTAAAATCCACACTAGTAAAGGAGAACAAAAAGTTGCACTTAGAAGTCCTCAAAATGAAGAGAATTCTTTGACTATTCCGCACAACGAGACACCATCCAATTACAAAAAGTATTCCCACAAAAAAATACACAAAGGGAATCCTCTAACCAGTCTAATTTAGTCATTTTGATAACAATAAAATTAAGGAGCTTTTCTCATATAAAACTTTGCACCTTTTTATTTTAATCCCCCACCCTTACCCTTAATGGTGATGGCTCTCACAACTATTAATTTATAAATGTATACTTCTTGAAAATTATTTTACACTCTAAATTAAAAGATTAATGTTGACATTATATAACATAAATATATATTATTGAATATCAAAACATAATCGAAATCACAATTTTTTTTGTATCTTAGAAATCTATTTAAAATAACTTCAAAATTAAATGATTTTTTAAAATTTTGATATCCAAAAAAAAATTCAATAAAATGAACAAATATTTAAAATGACATTTTAAGAATAACTAATTAAATTAAATTTTCATTTGAAACTTTTATAAAAATTTTATTTGTAAATTTTTTTCTATAAAATTATGTTACACTTAAAAAATCATTTGCATGTGTTTACAAGTAAAAGCATTAGTACTCAGCATCCATGGGAACAACAGAAATGACATAGAAATTATGCAAAATAAAAAGGTTTTGGATATGAGATCATGTCATGCCTTGAGTAAATTGCCTTCATATACAAGAACCATCATTTGAATATGGGGTGTCTTATGCATGTGTTTCTTCCATTATAAATCTAACAAACACCAACACCGACATCGCAGACCAGCTTTAGAGGACAGTTTGGTGCCAACATACTCACTTTCTCTACCAACTTGCGACCAACTAATGATTTTATTTTTTAAACAACTGAACAACATTACAGAACTCAAAATTCAAGCACAAGACGAACCCCAAAAAGAGCAGAAAATAAACGCACACAGCAAACCAAAGAAATAAGTCAGATCTGTCCACACACACAGCAAACCAGCATACACATAGAGACAGTGCAGTCCTTAAAGAGAAGGAACCACACCCCTGCTGAAGGCAAAACAGCCAGGCAAAACCACAACCGCGCCCCAATCAAAATCCAACCACAGAAAACCACTTTAGACCTGCGATAAAATTGACAATGCAAGACTATTCCATAAAGTAGCAGACTTTGAACATCAGACATGCAAACTCCAACACATATGCACTCCCCTGCCACTATAGAGAAAAATACTGCTGCAGAAAAATGCTATACCGAATTAGCTAAAAGAAACTGCACAGATCCTAACCCAGACTACGACGAAGACTCAACGAAATGCTGAAAAACATCCCACTTCTAATTGCCAAAAAGAATTTCTAAATGACGGGAAAAAGACAGCTCCGCCTAAACTGTTACCTAAATATTGTAACATAGATTCTGCATCAATTTTAATACTAACAAACTAACTGTCAAGCCACAAGAGGCCAGAAATAACCAATTCTCTAAAGGCACAGATATTTGTGAATCCTTTCACTTTATCCATTTCCAAGCATGGCACACATTCTATAAGAGGCAGAGTATCTAGAGCAGAACCACTTAAATGAAAGGTTTCTAAAACACTTTCTTCATGGACCTAAAATACACTGATTCCCTATAACACAGATTTAGTTATTTCAATAATAACATAATAGTACAAGAGAAATATATATAGCTCATTATACTATCAGATTTTCTCAAGTATTAGTTATGTCAATGTAAAATTGGAGGTTCCCCCGTGTAAAGACATAAGATTCATACAGTCGAAATACAAATCAGATCAATTTGCAAATATATATCAAAAGTAAACTATAAAATAAACTTGATGAAGCAAAATTCGTATTACCAACCAGTTTCTAAAATTTTCATATACTTTGATGATAAGTATGACATGCTTGATTGATAAAAGATAAAATCCTAATAATCACGGCCATACATATCTAGTTCTCCGACCGGAAGAAAGACTTCCTTATAAAGGAGTGCCTTATTACCTAGTTGATAGTTAATATCAATTATTTCAATTCTCTGTGTAATTAAATCAAACTGAACTAGTTTGCGATCTTTTGACAAAAAGAATATATCGCCTTTGTTCCCTGCTCCAATAGGATGGTAAATACAAGGTAATGGTCCAACAATGAACAGTTTAATCCATGATTCTTTCCTACCGAGTTCCGCCAAAACCGATATGTGAAAAGTAGTTAGCTTATTCGCACTTGTTTCCCAGGTTGAGATAAAAGCAACAGACCCATTTAAAGCAACAAACTGTGTATCTACCAATAACAAGCCAAAATTATCATCCACGCACGAGGGTAAAGGTGTTCTAAAGAACACATCATTTCTCAAGTCAAATGACACCAAACAATCTTCAGTTTCATCCCACCAATGACAAACTCCATTTGTGTGAACTCGGAAATGTGTATTAAAATATAACCTCTTAGACATATCTATATCAACTTTTTTCCAAGAATCACTTCTTAGACTGTATACTTCCCAGATAGAGTCGAGTGGCGGAATATAACCTTCATAGTCAGTTACATGTAGACAATGTGCTACATGTCTAATCAGCTTAGGATCATCTGTAACATGGTCATAACCAAATCCATGAATCGTACCCACGGCATTACGATAAAAAGGTGGCGGAGACTGGAGGGGACTAGGAGGAAGAATCTTGAAATTGTTAGTTTTAATGTTCCAAAATACAATATTTGGGATTTGCCAATTTTGGGAGAAACAAAGAGTGCCATCAAGAACAGAACCCATGAATTGAAAACCAAAATCATGCTGTTGAATTGGAGGTGGCATATCTAATCTTACTTTATTCTCAAATTTGTTGCCATCATACAAAAACAAGGCATTGTGGAGTTCATAATATGGCTCAATTAACTCATAACTGATACATGAATGATCGGAATAGGTATAATTGTTGTTAGATGCAAAATGGATGCGGTACATGTTCATAAAATAGGAATCGTGGAATAAGAGTGACCATGATTTTCTTACGCATCGAAATCGAACCAAAGATTTCAGAGCAAGTTTTGAAAGAATGGGAACAGTAAGATCATCAGGTATATGATTACTGACCTTTTCAGAACAAGACTTTGTTTTCTCCATTTTCTACAACAGTGTTGATTGAGTGTAAGAGAAAGATTGCATGCGAAATACAATCGAACAATTCTGAGAATGAGATATACAAAATTTAGGGAAAGATATGACTATGAGTTGATGAAGGGTTGAAGAGTTAAAGAGGAGAGTGATTGGATAGAGTGGAGTGGTCTCTAATATCATTCTCAACTATTTATATACTCATATACAAAATACTTCCGATAAATTTTTTATTATAATTATTTAAAATATATCATATAATAAATGTATTTAATAATTTTTATTTTAATTTAGTTGGTAGAGCGGAGGACTGTAGTTGATATTAAAATTAAAAAAAAAAAATTTTCTTATAATAAAGATTAAAAAAAAGTAACAAGTTAACATATAATTTTTTTTCTTATAATAAGGATAAACAAGAATAAAAGATAACATTGAAAAAATTTGTCCAATGATAAAAAAAATAACAAATTAACTTATTAACATTTTTATTGAGGGTGCAAAAGACTAATGCAAAATAATGTTATCTCTTTTATAATGAATTTAATATTTTTAAGAAAATTGATGTTGTTATTCAAAAAGAGGTAGCGATGTACCTTGTTAACCGTTTGCCTGTTAATTTTAAATAATATTGATTATTAAAATAAAAAGTTTAATTAAATAATTTTGGTTCCATATATATATATATATATATATATATATATATATATATATATATATATATATATATATATATATATATATATATATATATATATATATATATATATATATATATATATATATATATATATATATATATATATATATATATATATATATATATATATATATATATATATATATATATATATATATATATATATATATATATATATATATATATATATATATATATATATATATATATATATTCTATTTTGGAACTAACATTAAGTCTATATATAAATATATATATATATATATATATATATATATATATATATATATATATATATATATATATATATATATATATATATATATATATATATATATATATATATATATATAGACACACACACACGCACGCAAACCTTATCATTAGCGTTTGATAGACTTGACTATCCGATGATGGCAAATAAAGAATGCAACTAAAGTGCCATCTCAAGCTACTCAAGTATGTGTCAACAAAAGAAGAAGTATCTGGAAATGTCTTGAATTAATGTGGTAAAAGGAAAATATTGTAAAAGTGCATATGACTAAAAGTGCGCACGCACACACACACAAAAATGTTTTCAAAATGTATTTACCAAAGAAAACATTTTCAAAAACATCTTAAAGTTGCGTCAGATGAATTAGGCACTGTTAAAATTGCAAAAAGAAAAAAATGTAGACTTATCTAATCGATTAGAGCCATTGTCTAATCAATTAGATCAATTCAAAAATGAGTCACAAGCGACTAGGACAACACCTTAATAATGTGCAACGACTAGATATATTTTTCTTCCTTTTCTAAACTTAAAATCAATTATATTTCAAACTTCTAATCAATTATAAATATGTGTTAGATTAGAATGTCATAAAAAGCTTTTATTGATTTTTATTTTTGAGTCAACCCCAAGCATATAAATAGAGGTCCCTTTTCTCATTACATTTTATCCAAAATCGTATTTTGACACTTCTGACTCTCTCTCTCTCTCTCTCTCTCTCTCTCTCTCTAAACTTTTCTTTAACATTCTCTCACTAATGTTTTAGCATATGCTCTTTTGTGAGAAAAGTCATTTTGTGAGTGAGAATACATTTGTAAATTCACCAAGGGAAGAATTATAAATTCACCAAGAGAATATTTTGTATACACCTTGGTTGAATATTATCTATTTAGGGATTTGATTGGGTTAGAATTGTAATCCGTGAAAATCTTTGATTTGGAATTGTGTGATTCAGTCCTAATTTAGGTTGGAGATCATTCCGTGATAAAATTTCATAGGTTCTTGTTCAGTCCGGTGTTAAAAACAAGATAGGTTGAAGTTTAGCCCAATATTAAAAGCTTCAAAAGCTCGAGATCAACCCAATGTTTAAATCTCATAGGTTATTGGTTACTCCGTGTAAAACTAAGGTTTTGAGCTCAAAAGTTTAGAAACTTGAAGACTAATCACTCCAAGGTCTGTGTTTGTGAAAAGAGGATTAACCGCTTCAATTCACCATTGGCAAGGAAGATTGACTACTTCACTCCTGAGTTTATACTGAAGAAAAGACACAAACGCCCATATCTATTGTCTTGTATTTCTTGGTTGAAGATCAATCACCATTTCCTTGTATAAGTGGGTTCGTGAGTCTTTCCTACAAAAAGCTTTTTTCAAACGTTTATTGGAAACTCTCAAGATCAATTCTTAAGGAGAAGAGTAGGTCCTTTTTTTAACGAACCTCTATAACTCTTGGTGTTTCTCTTTTACCTTAACTCCTTTATATTACTGCAATTTATTTTCTGCTTTTTATTTTTGCTGCTAAGTGTTTCAAACATGTTGTTAAACTCTTATTTTATTTCACAAAGTTTTTCAAAACTACGTTTTTCCAAACTACACATTTCACCCTGCTTCCTCTTGTGTATGAAGTCTCAAGTCTAACAAGTGGCATCAGAGTATAAATCATATTTAAGGATTAATCGTCTCAGGAGGAAGATGACTTCCAACAAGAGATATTTTTTAAACACACCACCATTTTTCAATAATAGTAGTTTTAATATTTTGCAAGCTAGGTTTAGAATTTTTCTTCGAATCATAAATCATGATTTATGGAAACTATAGCCAATCGTCCGATTTAGCCTACTCATCAAGTAAATAATGAAGCAGTGGAAAAGCCTTATTCCCTTTGGAACGAAGAAGAAAAGAGAATATATATATGTGTGTATATATATATATATATATATATATATATATATATATATATATATATATATATATATATATATATATATATATATATATATATATATATATATATATATATATATATATTAAAATATTAAAACAAAGAACTTTATAAAAATGTCTATAGATCACAGTAAACTTTATGATGTTTGTCATTGTAAAACCGCCAAAGAAATGTGGGATACTCTTGAAAATATTTTAGGAGTTTTTCCTAGTATCAAACAAGAGAAGATGGACACACAAGAGAAAGAAATTAATGATATTCGTCATGGATGTTTTTCTAAATTTAGAAATTTTGTTGGAAACTGTATTAATAACAAGTATCTAAGAATTAAGGATTGTAAATTTAATTCAAATCTTAAATTGATAGATGGGAGCCTACATGAATTTCATAAAAAAAATCAAGAAGAAAGAAAATTATAGAGAAGATGAACGAATTAGTTCAAATACTTAAAGAGGGAGGAATCCAAACTGGAGAATCATCATCCTTATCTGACTCTTATCATACAACTCGTGCATGATCCTTAGAGAAAACACACTCAGTGGTTGAACAATCTTCGAAAGATTATACATCAAATTAAGAAGGTTCTTCAATATTTGAACAAACAAGAGGAGGAGAAACATTAATCTCAGAGAGAAATATGGAAATGACTTCTTCCAACAAAGAAGGTGAAATCTGCTTAAAAGCATCCTACGAGGGATATACTATTCCAAGTATCAAACCACCTTATGCATAATTATTTAGAATAAGTGGTTAATTAGTGGAGGAAAATAATAAGCTAAGAGAGTGTACCCTAAGTTTTAAGGAATCCCTAAGATATCTTAAGGAAATTAACAAATCCTTCAAATTAGAAACAAACAAGCTTAAAAATTCCAGAAGAGTGTAAGCGGTGTGACTCCCATACAAAAGAAGTAACTAGACTTAGTGAAACCTTAGGAAAGTTCACCCAAGGAAAAGAAAAGCTTGACTTAATTCTATCTAGCCAAAACCATCCCTGACACTTAGAACCTTTTTGTTTTGATAAATTGAAAGGATCTAAGGGTAACCACCTTATATATTTTATGACTAATGCACCTAGGCCCAAGAAGATATGGGCACCAAAGATGAAACCCTAGTGTTTTGCAGGTATTTTTTTCAACTTGGAACTTTTGAAAACTATTATTAAAAGTTATGGAAAGCAATAATATATACAATATTGATGAAGTCTCAATCCTGAAAATGAAGGATGGTGGAAAATGCCAACAGTTGTGATCAAAGCATTTCCTTGAGAATATCTCAAAGTATGTGATTCTTAGTGATCGATTTAAACAAATATGTATATAATGGACCTATTTATTTTATGGTTTTACCAACTCTTGTGTCCAATGATGTGTAGAGAAGGATACACCATTTGGCGTCTTCCCTATTAGGAATTTTTTTCAAGATTTCTTGATAAAAGAAGGTAACGTTATTTTAAGGTTGAAATAATCATGAAAATTTGACTAACCCCTTAAAATAATATTTCTTAGTATGTTGCTCATCAAAATTAAATTACTTTCTAACCCATAAAAATGAGCATTTTAGTATCTTATAACAAAAGGTGTAAGTGCTGAACTCAAAGCCCAAAACAAAGATATGATGAATTGGGCTAATCTAATTGATTAAAATGTGGTCTAATCGATTAGATATTTTGAAACTAAAAAATTCGAACATTGGAGCTCAACCCAACTGATAGTTGGGGAGAAATTACGGTAACAAATACCTACAACAAATAACCCTCATTTTTTACCATTTCTAATCGATTAGGGCATATGTCTAATTGATTAGACAGAGACTATAAAATGAGGTAACTTCTCATCATTCTCTTACTTATTCATTGCATTAGAAAAACATCAGCTCTCTCACTCATCATCATCACTTCAAAATGGCCCCAAAGAGAACTTGATATTCCCAATCATCATCTTCATATTTCTTTAAAGATTTCACCCCTTAAGCTAGTGAAACCAACTATAACCTCCACTACTCCTACAAAGAAATATTCCCCTATCACTATCTATATGAAAATTGTTTCATAAATTGCTCTTTTATAGAAGCATTCTCTTCCGCAGGGCTAAGGAACTTTG